AATTTCCTCCCCTGTTTTTAGAAGTTTGTACAAACATGTATGCCGGAGGGACAGTGGTGGAAGGAGCTTCAGGAATGGAACTGACCACAAAGCTTGGAGCGGCTGCTGGATCCAGAGCTGCTGCAGGATTTGCAGCAGGGGCAGCCACTGGACTTGGCCCCTGCCCTGTGGGGCAATCTGGAACTATGAGAACAAGGCATTCCACTGGAGGAACCAGCAAGGACTATGCTGAAGGGACAGTAAGCATGAATTTCCTGGAGTCCTACTTTTCTCAGGTAATTTGGTGTAAAATTTTGTGGCTTTATTATCTTATTTATATTAGAGTTATTTTTACTTGATGATATACTTCAGTGTTGCAGTTCATTTTTTCATAGCTGGTTAAAATGTAAAAATAAATACATATATATACACACAAACACATAAAAATAAATATGTGTATATGTACACATATATGTAAATAAATATGTGTATGTGTGTATACATACATATATATATGTATACATACATATATATATATATGTGTGTATACATATATATATACATATATATATATATGTATATATATGGGGGGGTTGCTAAAATAATACAGATAACATAAGGTGCCTGTCAAATTGGTGTCACTGGTCAAAAAGAGGAATGGGCAGGTAGCCACAAAGTGAGAGAATACAGACAGTGGCACCTCATCCCTCCAACTGGAAAAACAACAGAGAACAAAATCTTTTGTATTTGGGGTTCAGCAGCATCCTCTCTAAGAATACAAAGCAGTTCATTTTGTATTTCCCACACCATAAAGAATGTCGAAATATGTGTGCATATATTTTCCCGAGAGGATTATAGTATTCTTCATGTTTTCAAAGGAGTCCATGTCCAAAAAAGTTGAAGAACCACTGAATTAATGACCCAAAAATTAAAAAGGGAAGAAAAGAAAGGAATGGATTAAAGATCAATGCTGGGAAGAATGAAGTGTCAGGCAGCCTAGAACAGGAAAGAACAAGGATACAGGAAGAGGGAAGACATGGAGAGGCAGGGTGCTTACCCCTCATTTGGTTATCAAAGGTAGAGTTTTAGTAGTATCAGAACTGGTAAGTGTGAGGGTCTGACCTTGTACCCAAGCAGATGAAGGCTGACACTGTTTGAGGAAAGGGGAGGTAGAGGGGGACTTGCTTAGGACGAGCCAAAGAAATATATGCACACATATTTCAACATCCTTTATGGTATGGGAAATACAAAATAAACTGCTTTGTATGAGACTGTTTCAGATGGTGCATGGGGGGCTACCTCCCCCACTACCACCCCAAACACAAGGACATGCATTAACACAAGCATACGCAGTGACCCTCACACTTAGCCAGTGAATAAACTCCAAGAGTCAAACGTATTTGCTACAGAGACCTAAATCCATATAAGTGCCTTCAAAATTGAGAACTAAAACATAAGCCTAGTTAGACTCAGTTCTGAGGGAATGTCACCCATACTATTGTTCACACACCAGATAATTTTTAGAACAAGATGGTTAGCATAAGAATATGCATGCCTTAACTTCTACGGGTTACCTAATTTGGGCATTCGTAATCAAACTTTCAGTTCTTTGAACAGTATTATATTGTTCAATTGGATCTTTCTTAAACTTCATTTTTTCCTACCTTTTCTCCATCTTTAGAAAGCCTTTGCCTGTGCAGAGGAAGACGATGGCCAGGAAGCCAATGACTGCTTGTTGATCTATGACAGTGAAGGTGTAGATGCCTCTGGGTCCCCTGTGGGCTCCCTGGGTTGTTGCAGTTTTATTGTTGATGACTTGGATGACAGCCTCTTGGACTCACTTGGCCCCAAATTTAAAAAGCTTGCAGAGATAACCCTCGGTATTGATGACGAAGCCAGGCAAGCTCAGCCACCCCCTAAAATCGGCGGTTCTGGGATTGACTCATGTGGCCACTCCATAGGAGTTCAGCAGTCAGGATCTGGTAGGTGCCAGATTTTGCCAGGCAGTCAAGGGTCTGTCCAGCCAGCCATTTCCATTAAAAAGCTTGCGGCGATGACCCTCGGTGTTGATGACAAAGCCAAGCAAGCTCAGCCACTCCCTAAAGTCAGTGGTTCTGGGATTGACTCCTATGGCCGCTCCATAGAAGTACAGCAGTCAGGATCTGGTAGGTGCCAGATTTTGCCAGGCAGTCAAGGGTCTGTCCAGCCAGCCATTTCCATCCCTGACCCTCTGCTGTATGGTAACTATTTGGTAAAGGAGACTTACTCAGCTTCTGGTTCCTTCGCGCAACCCTCCACTGCAGTCGTTGATCCAATTCTCACACAAAATGTAATAATGACTGAAAGGGTGATCTGTCCCACTTCCAGTGTTCCTGGCAACCTAACTTGTCCAACAGAGCTACTAGGGTCACACAATATGCTCTGTACAGAAGATCCTCATTCCCATCTGATATGACCAGAATGAACTGGAATTACATACTGGTCGAATCTGGATATTTGGACCAAATTATTCAAAATAGCATAACAAAGCTCACTGTATTGTGCTAATTTGGCACTTATTAGCTACTCTCAGAAACCAATCATGATTTTAATTTAAATTTTCTGGTTCATACCCCAAAAATAGATATGTGTCACTCCTGAATTCTCAAATACTATTCAAATTATAGTAAACCTTAATGTTTTTCAAAAAATATTAAAATCATATTTGGTGGGAAAATTTTCTAAACGTTTTTAAACTTCTACTTTTCCAGTGCCAAAGGAAGATGTTGGTCACTTTAAAATGCAATGTTGGTTAGTGGACTGAGCACTTGGAGATAAGAGTCTCAGTTCTTGTCTCTGTCACCTTTTTTATGTCATTAATGATGGTGTAAGAATCACAAGGTATTTTCTATTTTGAGTTGCTTGGAAAAAGGGGAATAGTTACAATTGATTTTTTTATTCTTTTGGTGCTGGGAGACCATAAGTGCATCTTTTGCTCAAGCTAAGGGCGATGGGCTTTTGCATTAAACTTGCTGCATGTATATTCCACGTATTTTCACTATAAGACAATTAAGAAACATATACGAAAATTTAGTATGGTGTAAATAATATTTTGTGTGTTTCAATCACCTTAAAAGGATCTATCCAAAGAAAACATTTTACATTGAACTCATTTCTACACATGTCTCAGTAACAAATCCTGTGTTAGTCTTTGAAAATGGTTCCTTATTTTTTAAATTTTAGGAGGTAGATGTAACTTACATATGATATACAATGATGTTTATTATGTTAACGATGTTTACAGGCTTTGTGGGAATACAAAACATGGCTTTTCTCAGAAGAAAAAAGGGACCACTGACTAGAATAACACATGGTGAAATTTGTGAATATATATTATAAGCAGCATTTTGGGAAAATAGTTGGTGAGATAATTTTCAAGTTAAAAAGGGATATGCAATGGGCCGGCCCGGTGGCTCACTCGGGAGAGTGTGATGCTGATAACACCAAGGCCCCGGGTTCGGATCCCATATAGGGATGGCCGGTTTGCTCACTGGCTGAGCGTGGTGCTGACAACACCAAATCAAGGGTTAAGATCCCCTTACCGGTCATCTTTTAAAAAAAAAAAAGGGATATGCAAGTAGGATTATGAGTGAATTCTATTTTTTTAAGCCTTACTTCTAAATTAAACAGCCACAGCAATTTAATGCTTGAGCGTAACAATGTTAGGCTAGTGAAAATTTAGAATATATTATTTCATGCATGCTACCATGATGGTAATGCAGTTCTTCAAGTCATATCTGATCATTCAGGATATTTACCCTTTAGCCCGTACAGAACATCCTACCTCACCTACTTACCGATATTACTGTCTTAGCTGAGTCTTTATAAGCTCGTCTATCTCCATTATTTCTAATTATACATAAAAAACAGAGTTTTACATTGTCTTTTCTAGTTTTTTGTTGTTTTGTTTGTTTTGTTGGGTTTTTTTTTTTTTTTTGCCATATCCAAATCCTGCTTTTGTTTTTCCAGATGGATTGCAAAGTAATCAAGTGTTTGTTTTTTAACCTAGAAGGGTGCAGTCCTGAGGATACCTGGGGGGAAAGAGACCCTGTAAGTGTCCCTATCCCTAGTGCTCTTCTTCATTACCTGGTCCCATGACGACTAAGAAGGCATGTGTTAGAATAGCCCAAGAAGCTTCCACAGACATCAAGGCTTTCAATGTGCCCATCTTGAGGTGAGAGGAGCTAAACCCTGAGGAGCAGCCTCCTTAGTCCTGTGGAAGTTGCACTGCTATTACTGAGATTCTCAACACGAGCTTGCTCTGAGATCTAGATCCCACACAGTTGACTTGTGCCTCTGTTTACGAAACTCATGAGGGTTTTGTTAATAATCATAATAACGCTTATTGGAAGTTCAAAGGTGTATTCAGGATCCTCAAAGCATTTCAACTTTGCCTCTTAAAACCCATCTTATCATGAAATGGAAATTTTGCTGCCTTATTAAACTGCAGAGGAATACACGCCATTAACAGTAAAGGTTATATAAGGAAAAATTGAAATTAAATGTTTTTAAATTTTTTTTAAAAAATCAATCTTTAGGATGACCTAACAATTGATTGGATATGTAAAAAATGTATCTGCATTTTTCACCAAAAATAAAAATTGTTTTAAAAAAATTTTAAACTGTCCTTTTACTTGATGTATTATATACATTTTAAACAGTATGTATTAAAACATAAACAGTGTAACATTGTTACAATAAAACTGTTTGGCAGTAAATTTATGAGTACTTCCTTAACTAGTAAAAGCCAAACTACTGTCTGTAATTAATAGTCATTGAGAAATATGAAGAAAAAGTGACTTGCATATGTATTTTTTT